TTATATAGCACTAAATCACAACAAAGGTTTACTCAAGGTGCTAAATGGAACAAAATAAAATATTTAATAATGATAAGTTTATTTGTACACTTAATAAAACACATTGGACCTGCAAGGAGTGTCATAATAAAGTTAAACATTCACACTCCAATGGGTGTGTCAGAGAGCAACATGAGGTTACTATCATCTCCCAGGATATTCGGCACGCAGACTGGATTGAAACACCAACCTTTCGGGTAGTCGGTGGCCTGCTCTACCACCTGAGGTACAGCCACTTAATAGCTGGATTAAGCACAGGCACAGCCTGAAAGGAGGCTCATGCACCTCAAATTGCTCAAGTCATGACAGAGAGAATCTTTAGCACTGTTATCAGGAACTGAGAACATCATCTCAGCATAAAAACTTGTTAAAAAGAAAATAAGTTCATATGGTTGAAATCTCTGGATTCTGCCAGACCTGTAGTGCTTTTTCAAAATTTTCATTCAGCATTTACTGGTAATCCAGATTTTGGTGACCATTAAGTCACGTACAAGTGACACATGTTGAATGTGACACATGAAAATGAAGTTTTGTTCCAACATATATTCACATATATGCTGAGATCATATAGTGAGAGGTGGTGGACTAGTTTGTAATAAAACAGCTGTTTCTACGGCTACGTCCACACGCACACGGGTATTTTTGAAAACACAGATTTTTCTATGTTTGAGCTTTTCGTCCACACGTAAACGGCGTCTTGGGTCACAGAAAATGGAGATTTTTAAAACTTAGTTTTTGCGTTTACGTGTGGACGAGGAAAACTGAGATTTAGTCACGCGATGTCAAAGGCGTGCACCGTTTTTGACCTCACGCTGTGCTCACGTTATTGTTTACATGAGATTAATTTCTACAATGGTGGACAGAGACAAAATACTGTTGCTGTTAATCTGTCTGCAGTTTTTAAACACTGACACACACACAGTTACTGTCCCTCCATTTAGAAAGGCAGAGGCGCACGTGGCTTCTACATTCAACACAGATGCTCTCACAACTCAAAAACCAATGTCGATTTTGAATGAATTGAATTTGTAAAAAATTAAATCTATGTATGCTGTATGCATTTTGTTCATTATTAAGTTGCGAGTCTACACAACAGCCAAGCTTCTGTCTTTAGTTATTAACATTTGAAATGCACGTGTGGACGTAGCCTAAATATCTTATTTTATTGCATTCTTATTATGATTCTGTTGTGTGTCAGTTGTATCCGGGGAGGTGAAAGAGTTCCCCCTCATGTCAAAAACGTCACGTCAGCGAGTCACTCCTCACTTCCCTGACACTTGATTTGAATGACTGTATCTTGTTTTTCACATACTAATGTGGACTACTCTTTATTGAAATAAACTGTGTCTGTTAGTCGACCTATCAGCACAGAAACCCACCAAACCCAAGCAGCATCATTACAGTTACAGGTCTTCTTATCCTAGAGCTGTGAAATATTTTAATGTTTGCTACCAACTAAGTGTAATTACATTCAGTCCTTCACCAAAAACATGATATACTCTTCTTAGTAAATTGATATTCACCACCTAGACATATTTATCCTACAAATGTTAGTCTCTATTAAACATAAGCAGATTTGAATGATTAGCTTTTTAATCTGCAGCAACAGAACAAAAAGCTGTTTATGCTGGTGAAGCTCGGACTCTGTCAGACTGCTGTTGTCTCGGTGTTGAATATTTAATAAGTCTTTTCTCAGAAGCCGCAGCAGGTCACATCGACGCTGGCCATGCTGCACACTGATAAACTACACCAGGCCGTGCACACTGAGAAAGTCTCACATAGATTCACTAGTTGCTAAAGATAGAGCCTTCAATCCAGCCTTGAGATGATTATTTATTTTATTGCATATGATTCTATTGGCTGTTCGGGGTTGTCTGTCCGATCCAATCTTAAATCCACACTGGTGAAACTTTCATACTTCTGTCCTTTCTCGTCTCATCTCTCCCTCCCTGATTCTGCCTGTTCTCCGTCCTCGCCTGTACTGTAATCACATTACTCTCTCTCTGTCTTCTCTGTAGATCTGAGCGTACACAGAGCATACCCTGCCATCCTTGTCTGATGAAAGAGTCACGACATCTGCTTCAGATACACAGACCATATTCGCATACAAAGATGCAGCCCACTGTGGTTCTTCTCTTCTCCTCGATCTTCCTCCTGGCTTTCATCATCCCATTCTGCTTCTCCCAGAACGAGGGAGACCTGGTTGTTCAGACACGTACCGGTCGAGTTCGAGGCATCCGCCAGCTGGTGCCGGATCAGAGCTACATAACTGCTTTTCTGGGCATACCCTTTGCTGAGCCCCCACTGGGGAACCGCCGTTTCCGTCCTCCAGAACCCAAACGTCCGTGGACTGGAGTGATCGAGGCCAAGGAATACCCCAACGCGTGCTATCAGTATGTGGACACAGCATTCCCAGGCTTCCAGGGCAGTGAGATGTGGAATCCTAACAGAGACATGAATGAGGACTGCCTCTACCTCAATGTCTGGGTGCCCTCCTCGCCCAGACCTCACAACCTCACTGTCATGGTGTGGATCTATGGTGGAGGTACTTAAGAATTCACAAACCATACTGGGAATATCACTCCAATTGTCATTGGAGCACTGGGTTAGCCGTTCCTGATATATTACATTAGAAAATTCCTCGTCTGTCAGATTATTTTTTATGTAGAAGGATTGAGGATATTACGCTGGAATTCTAATCATTAAACGTCTTGAATAACAGCGATGAATTGTTGTAGTACGCTCTAATATTGTAGGTTAATGCTGTGATATTCCATGTTTCCAGGCTTCTACAGTGGATCTTCTTCTCTGGATGTGTATGATGGTCGTTACCTAGCTCACAGCGAGACAGTCATTGTGGTTTCGATGAACTACCGGATCGGTGCTTTCGGCTTCCTGGCTCTGCATGGCTCCTCCGAGGCTCCTGGCAATGTCGGCCTCCTTGACCAGAGGATGGCGCTGCAGTGGGTACAAGACAACATCCATTTCTTTGGTGGAAACCCTAAACAGGTGTGTTTCTCATTGCTTTATTTGTCAGGTCTCTGTTATGCTAGAATTAATATGAGCCTGTTTTGATTTAGTTTTCTATTTGTTCTCTCTGTGAAACAGGTTACGATCTTTGGCGAGAGTGCTGGTGGAGCTTCAGTAGGATTCCACCTGTTGTCTCCAGACAGCCGACCCACTTTCACTAGAGCCATCCTCCAGAGCGGGGTCCCCAACTGCCCCTGGGCCTCAGTGAGTCCCGCTGAAGCCCGCAGACGTGCCACACAGCTGGCAAAGTTTGTCGGTTGCAACGGAGGAAACGACACCGAGATAATAGACTGTCTGCGCAGTAAAAGTCCACAGCAACTTATCGATCATGAGTGGCAGGTAATTTACACAAATTCTGCTTGACTTATCATGTTGTTTGCAACGTGGACGAGAGACTTATTTTCAGTTTGATGTTTTTTAATTTCAAACCACTGGTTCTTTGATGCAATGGTTTATTACCTGTGGTTCCTACTAAGTGCACAATATGTTGTTAAGGATCAAAATCAGACCGGACTCAAACGCAAGACTCTCTCAAACAGTTCAGGAGAGTGTTCCCAAGAACACAAAACAGCCCACTGCTCTCCAGCACGGGCTTCTCCAACCAAGGGGATGTAGTTAGTAAGTTTTTCTCATTCAAAGCCAAGTTGCACAAACACGGATATAAGGAGCCGTGTTTCAGTAACTGAAGACCGAAATGGGAGGTCAGACTAACGAGGACAGAGGGACCATGCCAGTATGTACCTGTATCAGTCAGGGCTGCAACTGAAGATTATGTTGGTAGTTGAACAATCTGCCAATTTTCCTTCCATTAGTCGGTTGGCCAGTGATTATTTCAACAACTCTCACAGTGCTGTGGGCAAACCTGTTCTAGTCTTCAGTCCTCACCTGCTCAAATCTGCCCACTCTGCTGTCTCGTTCCACAGAAAATTAAAATAATGAAACACATGAATTTGAAAATAATCAAATGTATTTTTAAAAGGACTCAATAGGACTGTCAGAATAAAAATCATATAAATAAAAATATTAGTTGTACAAATTAAAGTGCTATTAGTATTTAAATACAAAATAATGTGCAAATAGGAAACTAATTTGCTTTCTAGTCCAAAATAACAAGTTAACCCTGTAATGCTATAAGTTTCTGCGACCTCTGTCTCATCAACATCAATACTTCCCATAATTTCAAAATGTTGTGGACAAAACTCTTTTTTGTCTAAAATTAACATTGTTGCCAAAAATGCCCAATGTATCAAAAATATAATAAAAATATATCATACACAACACGACATAGCAAAAAAATATTGTGGATTTTGTTTTAAGGGTTAATAAACATCTCAGTTCAAAAAAATCTGAATTTTCTGGCTATTTTTTGACGGGTTGGGTCTGACAGGGTTAACAAAGTTTACAGATGATTCAGTTCATGAATGCACAATTACTCTGAACATATTCATCACGATCATTTACCAACAAAACAGATTTAGAAAAGACCGTTGCTCATCACATATTTGGTTATAGATCATAGTTTCTCATTAGGTGGAAGAGGTTTACTACAATATTAAAGTGTGAGATTTAAAGATTTACTATCACGTTTCATCCTGAGAAGTTTCTGACAGCTAATGTAAACATTACTGTAAAAACATTCATATAAACAACATGTCAATGCAACCCACTAACTTGTCAAAGGAGCTTGCAAAGAAAAGCGTCTGGACTTCTTTAAGTTGCTTTGTCCCTCTGTGGGGGGACACTCCCACTAGGTTTAAATCTGGGACTCCCCACCATTTGACCTTAGAACTGAAGAAGCTTCTCGGATGAGAGGTGAAACGTCTTCAAGCAACTTAAAGAAGTCCAGACGCTTTTCTTTGCAAGCTCCTTTGACTACGATGACCTGGATGACTGAGAACCTTCACAGACAACCCACTAACTTCATAAAACTGACCCATTTGGACATCGCAGCTCCAGCGTGCCAGCGTTTTAAATGCTCGTGCACTGCATCAGTGCTGTCATGGAAGGAAAGCTCTGCTTTGCACAGTCTGCATTTAACTTTGTTTGCTGTTACATGCTTGCACATTTTTTTAAATCTCCCTGTCGCCAAATCTTTATAATCGATGACGTCATGTTGACGAATCGTTGCAGCCCCAGTACCAGTATGTCTGTTACTGGGGTAAGTCACACAAAAGGAGTAGCTTGGTTCTGGAGTAGGAAGTAGCACTTCTTGGTGTTTATGTTGCGTTATTTCACAGTCCCATGTGGGTTTGTCATCCATGCAGGTTCTGCCATGGTCCGCTCTGTTCCGATTTTCATTTGTGCCTGTTGTGGATGGCGAGTTTCTGCCCGACACTCCTGAGGCCATGCTCAACTCAGGGAACTTTAAAGACACGCAGATTCTCCTCGGCGTTAATCAGAATGAAGGCTCCTACTTCCTGCTGTATGGAGCACCAGGCTTCAGCAAGGACAACGACAGTCTGATCTCCAGAGAGGACTTCCTGGAAAGTAAGGATGGATATATGTAACTGAGCAGAGAGAATTGTATAAATCCATCCAAAACATTCAAGTTAATTCTGCTTCAGGTTATTACGGCACAGTTTTACTTGTATCGTGTTAAAACCTTCAGTGTCACTCTTCCAGGTGTTAGGTTGAGCGTACCTCATGCTAATGATATCGGCCTGGAAGCAGTGGTGCTGCAGTACACCGACTGGATGGATGAGAACAATGAGATAAAAAATCGTGATGCCATGGATGACATTGTCGGTGACCACAACGTCATCTGCCCGCTGGCCCACTTCGCTCGCTCTTATGCACAACACAATGCCCTCAAGGCTAACGTGGGTGGCATCAACTTTGGTGGGGTGAACAGTGGAAACTCACAAGGTAGGATACCCGAGTACCAGTGTGGTCTGTCAGATCTAGAAGTATATATATCCCATACCCAGACACGCTACTGTTTGAAGGACCTGCTTTCTGGTGATAGAACAATTTGGTACGATACTTAAATTAAACTGTGCGTTAAATTTCATGTTTTCACTTTTTAATGCAGATGATAGCTGTTTTAAATATGCTATAATGTGCAGGACAACTGTACAACAATTGAATCTGCATTTGTCATGTAAGCGATGTTGATACTCTGATGATAGATCAGTAAAATATTCTAGTTGGAAAAATGATTTATTTTTTAACTGTCCTTGTAAAAGATTAAAACATATCTGTAGTTTCTGAGTAAAAATGAAATAATAATGATGATTAACTATTTATAATTGTAATTTTCATGCATTTTCTTCCACCATTTATTTCTTAAGGAGGGATGTATCTTTACCTTTTCGATCACCGGGCATCCAATCTGGCCTGGCCAGAATGGATGGGGGTGATCCATGGCTATGAGATTGAATTTGTTTTCGGGCTGCCACTGGTGAAGAGGCTCAACTACACCCGAGATGAGGAGAAGCTAAGCCGACGTATGATGAAATATTGGGCCAACTTTGCTCGGACTGGGTGAGGCCACAAAAAAAAAAACTACCTATGGAATCAGGGTCTATGTCCACGTCCAGTCTTTTTTATGCAAATGCACCTCAGCAGCCATGTTTTTCAGTCAAAATAAATAATGCAGGAAAAGCTGTATGAGTAAGCAGCCCTTTAATTCCTGTGAGACTGCAGGTTAATGAGTCTTGACATGAATTTGGAGGCACAGAGAGCTTCTCCTGACAGTTAACCCTCATGCTACTTGGCTTAAAGGAAAGGCTTTAATAAGTAAATGTTAATGCTGCGAGGTACACAGTGGGGGAAATTAAATTATTTGATCTCCTTTTGAAATTGTATCCAGTTACAAAGAATTGAGAAAGCTACAATTTATTTTAATAGTAGCATAAACTGTCAGCAAAAACAAACATTCTGTAACAGTTACAAATTCATGTGCATTTTAGTGAGTGATCAGTATTTAATCAGCTTGGAAGACAATTCAGTACTTGGTGGAATGACTGCAGCAAGAAACACTGTCAGACATTTCCTGTATTCAATTCAGTTTTATTTATACAGCGCCAAATCACAACAACAGTCGCCTCAGGGCGCTTTATATTGTAAGGTAGACCCTACAATAATACATACAGACAAAAATGAAATGAAATAAAATTTAGTGATCCTTAGTGAGCACGTACATGTTTGAGCTTGAAACACACAGATATGATTATCTGAATATGTTTCTCATTGAGCAAAATGGCTCAATGCGCCATGCTGCAATGGAACATGAAGTAGTGATGTACTACGAGTACCGACATCGACTGCAAGCAGAATTGTTGTGAATCTAACAGTTAGTTTGGAGATCATTTTACTGCTTTTTCGTTTGATTTAGTTGTAATTGCAATATCCTTTCTTGTTCTGTCTGTATCAGAAATCCCAATGACGTGCAGGGAGATAGAGGGAAACGCTGGCCTGTGTTTACCGTCAGCGAGCAAAAACACGTTGGCCTCAACACCGAGTCACTCAAGATTCACAAAGGTTTGCGAAACCAGATGTGCGCATTCTGGAATCGCTTCCTGCCACGCCTTCTCAATATTACTGGTAAATACTATTAAATATTACTTCATCTCTACACTTGAAATCTGTACTGAATGCAGGTCTTCACTTATGTTCCACTTAAAATTATGACACTTCTCACTGGATGCATGATACAAGAATTATTTTAAACTAAAGTGGAGCTTTCCCACATAGCAGGCAGGTCTGGCCCGGATCTGGTGTCAAGCCGGCACTGCTGGCTGACTTCTGGCACGGTAAGTGGTATGTCATCAGATATGGGCCAGGCCTGGCGTAGATGGCACTGTTTATGTGATGGCATGCTCATAAAAAACAGGTCTGGCCCGGACACGGCATCAAGCTGGCACTTCTGACTGACTGGTGTCATGGCAGGGTGTATGTCAACCAGATGTGGGCCAGGTCTGGCATGATGGCACTATTTATGTTCCTATTTTCCTATTTTAGTTAGAAGACCCAAATGCCATGTTGCAATACTATACTGCTATGGTAGCCAACGTTTCAAATGCAGGTTTGACAGGTTTGTGAGTGTACACTTTATCCCCT